AGAGAGAGAGAGAGAGAGAGAGAGAGAGAGAGAGAGATTGAGCTCTGGTAGCGTACTGGTTACGACACAGGAGAAAGATGAGGCTTTCTGCTCCCGTAAAGATTTACAGCCTCGGAATCCCTGTACAGGGTGGCTATGAGTCGGAACTGACTCCATGGCACATAACAACAACATATATATATATATTTTAAACTGTCCTCAAAATTCTCTGACTAGGGAATTTAGCTCTTTTCTGCATTGGTGTTTTCTCTCTCTTTCCGTTTCTGACTGTAGATTTTACAAAGAAAACTTGTAGGGTCATTTACATCTCTGATTTTATTGGCTCCATTCCCTGGCTGTCATCTGCTAATTTCCAAAACAGAAGTCCTGGTGTGGTGCTATGGGCTAATGAATCAGACGGCAAAGTCGTTTGAACTGCAAGGTTGGTGGTTCATACTCACCAGAAACCCACTACAGGGTCTCTATGGGTCAGAACCGACACAACGGCACTCAACAACAGCAACAATGGTTTCATTCCATGATTCAACTGTAAAATCCCTGAGGCAAAAAATGGATGGAAAAGTACTTCTTTCAGCATATGAATCTAGAAAAAACCCTCCAATGTCTTCATTAGGAGTCGTGGGGGCGCATTGGGCTGCTAACCACAAAATCAGCAGTTTGAATCCAACAGCTGATCTGTGGGAGAAACTCTACCGCACTCAACAACAACAAATGTCTTCATACCTGACTTCTTTGATGACCCTTAAGCCTCACCTCATTTCCCCTAAAAAAGGTAACAACCAGTCTCCCAATAAGAAAAGGCATTTTGAATATTTGATTTTCAAGGAAACGAAAATAGACACCCACTGTATTTGTTAAATGTCACCTAATATTAGATTAATACATTATGGATATATTTTACTGAAATAACTTACAAGTTAGTAACAGCAACTGTGTAGTAGATATCGGTATGCATGGACTTTGGGAATGACAGGGCTAAATCCTAATTCTGATACTGCTACGTTATAGTTGTGTGGGTTTGAGCAATTCTTTAATCCTTTGTGCTTTAGTGTCTTGATTTGTATGTTGTTCTTAGGTGCCATTGAGTAAATTCCAACTCATAGCAACCTTATGCACAATAGAATGAAACACTGCCCAGTCCTCCTCTACCCTCATTGCCCATTGCTGCTGCCACTATGCCAATCCATCTTCTTGGGGATCTTCC